TATATATATATTTAAAAAAATTCAATGATCAATAAATTGGAAACCCATTAAACCTTCACATATGACTGGAGAGACTTTTGTTTCATTTGCTGGTAGCAATCTATCTTTTAGTCACATGCAAAATTAAAAGGTATTCAAATGTGATGAATACATGAAAATTGTTTACAAATGGAAACCAGAAATTTTGCCAGTAACAAAATAAAACAAAGTATTTATGGCCCCCCAAAGATGTATGACTCGCACATCATTTATCTTCCTAAGAATCTGTTCAGGCACCATTTATGCCTCATAGCAAAAATTTGTTTATAAAAAAATTAATATAAGAAGCTTACAACACTTTATAAATAATTTACAAAACATAATACAAAATTAGAAAACTGTAAAAAAAATCACTGCACATGAATGGTTTTAAGACTGTGGGATGAACACCATTTTTTCTTCCAAGCTGGCGATTTATATTTATTTTACATTTTCACTGTCCTAGTTATACCCTTCCGATACGTACTTTGGAACAGAAAAGAGCTTATGTAACTGCTGCCAGCATATTTTTAAACATTTAGTATCTTTCATATACTGTTTAGTTAACTTTTCTTCTTGGGGGATCTTCACAAAATTTAGAGCAGTCCCTGGGAGAACTGGAAATTTAGTTTTTAGGCAAAGAATGGTTGATGGTTTTGTTCCCAGGCTGTTGATGATGGGGGTGGAGCGGGGTGGGTCTCAAGGGTGGCTGAACAGGTAATCGTGTATGTGGCATTAATGACTGGACAATTAGCAGCATACTGGAGACACGGGTAGGACTTCAGGAGTGTCTGCTTCCAAATATGATCTGTTCTTCCCTGCTTCCCTGTTGGCTTCTGGGTGGTCTCCTGATCATTATGTAAATTGAATTGTGGCCACAAGTTTAGGGCTGTTTGGTATAGGTAAGATAGATATATCTGTGGCTATAGGTATCTGTGGACAGAGAGGGAAAAAGAAAACCCAGAGGGGCAGATGTTGCTGTGAGACTCCATTTACTTCACATGCTCTGCTTGGGTAAAGCACCTTTTTTGTCCCTCACAATTTGCCTGTGGTTACTGAGGTGTTTTTTTCCCACGGCAGATATTTATACATCAACAGTCGGAAAAGAGTCAATAACAATTCTCGCTCTCCTCCTCATAAAAGCAATACTGAAAATATCCTTAAACATACCCTGCTGAAGCTTAAAGCCTAAAATGCATTTGCTGGATGTGAGCCCAGCCTGGAGTACTGGATCTTCAGTGCTCTCCAACCCTGACCTTTGAGAGTGCTCACATTTAGAGGCAGTTTCTGGCACAGATGATGGTCTCCGAAGCCTTAAAACTCCACCAGCCATGCAGCAAATACCCCATTCTACAAGGCAAATCCCATTAATAAAATAGCGAGGGCCAGATTCAAAGCCCAGTGAAATCAATGGAAGTCCCTTTCTTTCACTAAGTTTTGGAGATAGCCTTGAGTTCTTGAAAACTCTGTAAGAGAGGTGTTATTTGAAGACTCCGGCACTTCGGGAACCTCCTTCAACGTTCCGGGTAGACCAGTAAAAATCCAGTACAACCATCCTGAGGTCAGCGAACACAATCAGTTTTACCAGCAGAATTTTACTCTACCACCTCTACAGTGAGCTGAACCAAATCCCCAATGTTATCTTTTGGCAAGTCCTGATCAAGATGCAGTTTCTACCCTAGTAGTGGGCTGAACCCCAAAGGCTGGAGCAGAACTCAGCAGAAGATGAAAATCGCAGGTGACCTTCACGGGTTAGCCCATACCCCATCGACAACTTGCAACACCTTTTTCTCCCTCTGAGCCTTGGTATACTCATAGGTCTAATGACCACAGTATTTTAGAAGATGCTTCTCCAATCAAAAAGGAAGCCACAGAGATAAGGTGTCTTTAGAGGAAAATCAATTCACCTGAAACATATTGCAGGTGCCCCACCTTACTATTCCCAAAGGATATTCAATGGGTTTCCCTATATCCTGATTGCTTAGTCTAGCCAGCGGTCACAGCAAACACCTGCAGAAACACATCCTCCTTCTGAAGAGGTCAACAGGGCAAACATCAATATTGGGATGACATAAAAAAAAAAGGCAGAAGGAACAAAGCACTACCATTGAAACAGTCCATAGTGATGTAATGACCAAAACATCCTCATCACTTCTCGGTCTGTCTGTTTCTTTTCATCAGAACCTCAAGAAATTTCTTTGGCTAGCAGACTTTGGAGAGAAATTGCTTCAAACGGAACCATAATATAGATGCAGTACTGAACCAAGTGTGCAGTTTATATTTATACTACAAAATGAGTTTTGGTAACCTCTCCAGGTTCATGGCCAAAGGACAGAGAAATCCCAAGCTACACAGTCGACAATAAGCACAATGTTCAGCGTGGGCTGACAGTTTGTCAGACAGAATCCTAATCCTTCTTTGTCCTCTATTGCATTTCAGCATATCAATATAAAAGTGTTCAGGTTTCACTTTTCTTTTTAAAAAATCTTCAAACAGTACTGGGTTATGTGTATTTGGGGAAGGGGTGGAGAATGAGCTGGAAGGGGGGAGGCAGCAAAAAGAATCAGAAAAAAATAAAAAATAGAAATGCAAACCAAGACATACACCCTTAGAAGAGAAATACCAAACCCCGCAAATCACAGTAAAAATAAATTCTTTTTTGGCACCCAAACACTTGGAGATTGCAAAACTGTTGACTAAAAGAAAAGGAAAGAAAGTAAAGGAGGTGACCACTATGGAATGGCTTTAACACCTGTTTGTACACACCTGCAGGGGGTGCAAACAAGGATGAGAGAAATTAATCCTATTGTTTTCCTCTTTGCAAAATACAAATGTAAAAATTCATAACACAATTTTACACTCATAAAAGAGTAGACTAACAATCTAGTTTGCAATGCCATGTTTCTGACTTTGGTTAATAGTTTTCATAGTGTGAATCAGCACTTGATACCTGGATACTCCTCCAGGTGGCAGGCTTCTATTCTCTTTTAAACAGATAAAAGTTTTTTTTTTTTTTTTCCTTTTTTTTTTTTGTTTTGTTTTGTTTTTCCTTAAAATGTGTTCACATTTTCATAATATACAGAAAAAAAGTAAGCAGTTATTTGGTTTACTTTAAGTCCATTTAAAAAAAACTGGCTTTTTCTTTTTTTGGGGAACTAATTCTACGACACACACACACACAAAGTGTTGTGTATTTTTTTGTTTTGTTTTTTAGATAGGAAAACCCATGGACATTTATAAACTGTTCTGTCCTTCTTGTAGTTTTCTCAGTCTTTTACTTACAAGGTGATGAACAGGTATTTTTCACAGAGTTCAAATGGTTACGTTTCTGTTGGTGCGGGCTTTTTTGTGTGTGGTTTTGTTTTGTTTTGTTTTTTAGGAGTTTTCTTCCAGAGAGTCTGTTAAAGGCTCCATAGGAACGGCTGTTGCAGGCTCGTGTTGTTTCAAACGTTTAATTGTGTTCTTCAGTGCTTGCCTCTTATTGCAGAACCAAACTCTAACTACTTCCCGGTCATAGTTCAGTTTCTCTGCAATCTCTGTCATTTCTTGCCCAGAGGGGTGCGTGTTCTTCTCAAAGTGGGCATTCAAGATCTCAAGGGCTTGTGGCGTGAATGAGGTACGCCTCTTGCGCTTTTTGGATGGTTCGCTTCCGATAAACTCGGTAAGGTTCTGCATACCTGCTCGATGGCGGGCCTCAGCCTCAGCCATCCACCGCTCAAGCACCGGCTTTATCTTCTGGGCACTTTTAGGGGTGATGTCCAGCTTTTCAAACCTGGCAGGATACAAAAGGCCAGGGTTCAGTTTGGCTGTCAGACTGCTAGCTATAGTGTTCTCTTGGGCTTCCTGTGGTAGGAAAAAGTGGCTTCTCAGGATGGTGTGTCTGAGGGAAAATTGAGAAAGAAGAGTCTTACACTGATGCTCTGCCAGGGTGGGACTTCCTGCCTGCCTGACTAATTGACTGGCAGAGGTAATTTACAATGGATTACGAAAACTATCAGATAGGTATATCTATAAATAAATATATATAGCTAGATATTTAAGCTAACACAAAACGAGCACTACAACAAAATTCTAAGTACACTAAATAATACAGGTTATGAGTCACGTTTTCATATTTCTGACGAACTTCAAAACCCTTAAGGCTAAGTCTAATTACAGGAAATGACATCAAAGGCAATTGCTCTTTATCATCTCGTCGTTGTGATTAATCCTTCTGTTTCCCCTCCCATCCTGTGTTGTCCAAACACCACAGCTTTAATAATACAAACCAATGGCCTCTGAATATCAGGTTTCCTTTCCTTTCATTTTTCAGCAATTTTCACTGTTTGCAAGTTAAGGCTATATCCCTTTTCTGGGTCGGAAAAAGATTCCCATAGCTACGGTGGTGTTCAGCTGAAACAGCTGGACACTTTGCAATTATCTTGACTGCCCCCACAATGTGCAAAGACAGACTCATGTTTTCCAGATGAAACCCAGCATAATAGTCTACTAATATGCTGTGGCACCAAGCTGGGTTTATTGTGGGATTTCTGCAAACTGTACCAGAATGATATCATTTCCTGTAAATGAGGTCTTCTATATATCATTTTGCCATCAAAAGTCTTTTGCCAAACCAGATTTTACAAGTATTATAAAACATCTGGAAAAGCAGCCACACAAAGCTTTAATCCTTTCAAAAACAAGCAGAAGAGCTGAGTTCACATTTCAGGTCTTATAAGTACTTGTTTCTTTCATTTACCAAGTTCATCCTCTCTTGCTACGCATGAAAAAAGTCTTAACCCGACTCCTCTGATGCCACCCATTCGTATTTCCCCACTTCGCCTATGTCCACCCTGTACACTGTGGTATTTAATGTTGCGGAAAGGCAACAATTATTGCGTGGTGCTGCTGCACTCTCCAGCCCGCCCGGTGCTGAAGCACTGCCGCCGCCACTAATCACGACGTGCTCTGGAGATGAGACCGACCGAATCAATGCCTTTGTGCAAAGCAACTCGGTGACTGGAGTTGGCAATTTTTATTGTCTCTATTCAGCATGTGGCAGCTGCAGAAAATATTCCAGCAAGAAACAAAGCATTTCTCACAAACAAAGAATAAGACAAGTAATAATTTCAGATAATAACACTCCAAAGAATTTGTAACTTGTGCCTGGGATCCTAGTGTGGTATTGACTGCAAGGTGTCCTTCCTTGGTGTCCAGTGATATTTCAGGCTGACGTGTATGTTTTAGAACGCATTGCCTCAAGTTAAGAAAATGCTGTTATTCGCACGCGGAACATATCAGCAAGGTGGTATATTGCTGATATGACCTGCACAGGCCATCAGGAGACTCTACTTCTGTCTCCGAGTTGGTCATTCAACTTCCTTACCTTACTGCCTCTTCCATTACCCTGGAGTTCGTACTGAAACTCTTTTGTTACCATTAAAAGTCAAACCTACTATTTCCGAGGAACAACATACTGCCACTGAAGCAGCTTGTCTTGGTGCTTAACAAGAAATGCACAGTCATAGCAGGTTATTACACCCCAAAGTGATATCCATCCCGGCGGGGGGGGGGGGGGGGGGGGGGCAAAGGAAATAAAAAACCCTGTAAACTTGCAAGTATTTGGGACCAGCTTTTGCACCCAGTCCTCATGGTCTGAGCAATGTGCCCCTCTAAGGAGCCCTCTGTAAAAGGTCTCTGCATTCTGGGCTTTTGTTACCCATGTCTGTGCTCCAACTTCATCTTTATCGGGGTTTCTATGATAATTGGTTAATGGGGAACCCTTTCTCTTAGTAAAATTCAAATCATCCCCAGTGGTTTTCTCAAGTGTGAAGTAGATGGAGGAAATGAGAAGACAGCAAACTAGACAAAAGCAAAGGAAACTGCAATTTATCACTTTAAAGTATAGTATGTTAAACCACAACTTAAGGCTACAACAAATTGGCAATTGCTAAAAACTCCACCCGTTTTAGGCATTCTTTACCAACTGACCACAGGGAAGAAAAAAAATAATAAAATTAATCCTTAGCAACAGGGAGCAATAGCATTCATATCACTGGCATTGCTTGTTAGTGTTGACACTGCAGTACATGTTGTTTGGTATAACGATATACAAGTCTTGAAACAAATTTCCCAGCAGTAGTATCCTTGTATAGACTGAATAAAGGTTATTTTCTACAGGGAGGTATCTTATAAGAAAAAACAGTAGGGGAGACCACAGAAGTAGAGGATCCTATGGAGCTTTTTGTATTTAACAACAATCAATGGGTTTTATGGAAAATCATTGAGCAAAATGTGAGCTGCAAGCTCACTACCCCATACTGATGTTATTTATAACCTTAGTCTTAAACTGCAGGAAAAGTACACTTCCGTTCTATGGGGAATACATTAAAAGTATAAAGAGCAGATAAAAAGACAGAGCATTTCATGGATCACCAAGAACAAAATCCACTTAAATGAGCTTAGAGTTGGTTTCTTGGCTTTCACTGATGGAGAAGGACTATAAGGCATTGCCCAAGAGGAAAAAGCTGTTACCTAAGTGTGTTTGTTACCTCATGCATAAACATGGGATTACTGTAACACACATACATGCATATACGGTGTTTGCTTCTAACTACTTTAACTCTGTCAAGACTGTATTATCATTTCTTATCAATAGGGCAGATTTCTAGTTCTGTTTTGCATACACGGGTTGTCTGTTTGTTTTTTTAGCAAACATTTGGGTGATAAAAGATGAATAGCTGCTAGTTTGCAAGGTAGCAGGAAGGATAATTTTTTCCCTTCTGTGTTGCCTAGGTAAATCATCATTAACATCCTATATGTGAAGTGCTAACCACAGTAATACAGGTTTTAACTTAGCAGGGATGCAGCCATGAAATATTTGTTCAGTAACCCTATCTGTAGAAAATGGCACAGTATGAAGAGGGTCAGCTGGTGCTTATCCAGCATCAGCAGGGTCTCCAGCTCGTCTACTGAATTAAGTCTCAATGCCAGGAACATTGTTTCCCACTTGTTTAAAAAAGAAGAAAGGAAAAAAAAAGACTAAAGTTACTTTAGGGGTACACAATAAGAACATTTTAGCTGCCAGATACCAATATTATTGGCTAATTTAAGTCCCAGATCAAATAATACATTTTAAAGACATGAGACTCTAACACAAGCATGCTCCTTGCAATAAGCTGAATAATTATTAAGAACAAAGGAGGAGAGGAGAGTTTATGATGTAACTTGTTACCTGCAGATGGCAGACTGGCTATAGGCTGGGCCTTCGGTGGCGCTTAGGGCTTGGCCAACTTGAGTCTGTGTCAGGCCAAGGGACAGGCGCCGGATTTTAAAAGCTTTGGCAAATTCTCGGATTTCTTCCAGATTCACCCCATCCACCTCTCCAGTGGCTGTTTGAGGATCTGTTGAAATATTTTTTTAATCGTATCAGTTCTTCACATCACATATGAGTGGGATAGGCTTACACTAGCTTTCATTGTCAAGACGTTCATTTTCTAAAATACTTATCCCTTTCTCTTCTTCACCACACAGAAACAGGCTTGCCTTGTCAGGTGCGTTACGAAGCATGTTCAGATTGCTAAAATGCTAACTAGGCTGCAGTGTTTCCAGGTGCTGGTGAAAGATTTTCAAAGATACACTTTGTTACTGAACTCCTGAAAATGGCCAACCCACCTCCGAGTGAGGTGGTGCCTGGGCTCCTCACTGCCATTTGTGCCTTGCAGAATCTCCCCCAGGCTGACAAGTTATGTTCCCCATTTCCCTTTCTTATCACATTCAGAAGGAAGGCTGGTGTTAATATATTTATTTGCAGTCTGTGGGTAGGGCTAAATATATGCATGAATGGCTTGGGTTTTTAATTTGAAATCAAGACTTTCTGCTTTATCTAAAACTAATGGCAAATAAGGAGCTTCACAAACCTTACTTCTCTTTTGCACAATACCCAAGCCAAACCACCAGCCAAACGTCCAAAATAACCCAGCAAATGAACAAACCCAAACAAAATGCTGCCTTTAAAAACTCCTTAATTTAAAAATCATCTTTTAAAATATGCCCTTCTGAGAAGCAGTCTTTCAAGCTTTTCATTCTGCCTCCCATCAGGTTGATAATGAAGGAGCAGCAACATCAGCCATTAGGTTTCAGATGGTAATGCTGCACAATTTTTTACTTTTACATTAGCCCCTCAGAAGATAATGCTTATGATGCTGTGAGAATAAATCTGTCCTTCCTCTCCATAGCAGTTTACTGACACAGAAGGCTTTGTCCCTGAAAGGGCACATAATAAAGCATGTCTACCACAGGAAAGCTCCTTTGGTGCTGGATAACTCGGTCAATTTAGGACTTATCAAGGGAAATGACACAACAGCTGGAGAATGGAACTTCCCCCCCACCTCCCCAAGCTACTGATACCTGGCTAAATAAAATCATTTGCCAAGTCAGAGACAGCATGGGACTGGGATGGTGGAAGATTTCAAAGTAGTGTGCAATCCTGCGTGTAGCGAAGCCATTCTCCCAGTGAGACATCTCTATTGTTCTTCACCTCATTCCTCAGACTTCTTAGGTGAAAAGTTTGCAGCACAATAACCCATCAATTTCTGTAAATGCAAGCAGTTGTCCAAGGATGATGCTAGACCACATTACTATTCTGAACCCTATATGAGAGTGGCTCCTGCTAGTACTGCTACAGCTAAGGGCTTGTCAGCATTACGGTAACAAAGCTCTTATTTTCAGGGGTTTATAAACCTGATGTAAAATTCCCTTATGATGGAAATGTCCTATAAAAAATCTTTTAGTCCAATAATAGACAGAGGGAAGAGGTTTTACTGCTGTATAAATTTAGCCTATATTGATTCACAACTTGAGTGTAAGAAGCACACATAGCAATAGTATTTTAAAAATACTCGCGTATGCAACCAGGGACCACATGAACTATGCATACAGGTAAACACGCACATAGGCTGAACCTAGTTCTGACAATGCCCCACACTCAGGATTTTCCCTCCTGTTCTCACTGCTGTGCTTGAGCTCACCTGTGCAGACATGCATGCACTCATTCAGTATAAAGCTAGGGCATGTATTATTTGGTTTTAAGTAGTTGGCGCTGTGACAGGGGCCACTCAGGTTTGTAAAGTAATTGCCTTTAGAGGTGTGAAATTTTTCTACTTACCCCATACACAGTCTATCTAGCATACCAGTTCTGATTTTCAGAGACACAGAATGGAGCTGGATGCTTATCTGCCCTTTGGGTCTCTGAAGAGCAACTGATAAATGTACAAAATATCATAAATTATAATGGCCTCAAAGATTCCCTTGAGTAAAGTGCACTAAGATGGTGACCTTCCTCACCACTTTCCTTCCTTCACTTTAAGGCCTCTGACTAAGGCTATTAGGGATGTGACAAAGGACAATTCAGGTGTTCCCAGAGAACTTTCAAAGTAGCAAATGCTATGGCAACTGGCACCTGTTGGAATATTCTTGTTAGAAATAAAAAGGGAGGTAAGAAAGCTAAGGGGTTATTTGCTTGCACATGATTACAGAGAAATTCTGCCAACTTCTTCTGGATCCTTCTGGTATGGCACTGTTGCAACAGTGAATATCATGGAAAGTCCTTTCCTGCTCAGGGGGCTTGGACAAGGGAACAATTAGGCTGAGCTCTCCTTGAGATGAGAAAAAAGCCTGTGATGCACGTCAGGAATATGGGAGTAGATTGTAATACATGGCAGAGTATCTGTTGAGAAAGAGGCTTCATTCTTACATAGTGTCTTTGGGAGGAGGAAAGTACTAACAGAGAAGGACCAAAACACTGAAGCCTTTTATCCCTGAACTGTAGTGAAAATTGCATTTGTATCAAATCAGAACCACTTCTACTTCAGGTGTGATTCAAAGCCCTTTGAAATCCATAGAAGTAGTCCCTTGATTTCTGTCAGCTCTGTAAAACTCAAATAGCACCATGAAGACCACTCTTGACCGTCATATAACAGCACTGGTCTGTTTTACTCTATTGCCATTAAAATGCCATAAATACATAATCTTGGACTCCGTGGACTAATACATACACATAAATAAATATATACAAATAGATAATGGACTTTGTTTTAATAAGTTCTGGACTCTCAGAACAGTTAAGTGCATAGTGCACTTCACATCTTAGGAAGAGTAGCTTATTGAAGACTGTAAATAAACCAGTGCTTTTTAAATTAAGTGGACATCCTAGAGAAGGCAGCACAGTGCCAACAGGAAAATAAAGAATACCAATCTCATTGAGAGGTTGGGATCTACAGTAACAGCATTTAAAGATTCCTAATGTACCTTATGGCTTGATAAAACAATGGCTGTTGTGTCTGTGAAACTACTGGGTGCTGGAGAAATGTCTGGGACCATTTTAGAGGATATGTGTATATATCCCCTAACAAAAAGAAAGCCAGCTAAAATTCCCTGACATATCCTGGTGGATGGTGAAGGTGGGTGAGCAGAGTAGAACAAATAAAATCCATAGGCTCTCCTGCATGGAAACCCCTTTTTTCCTACTGAAGGAAACAGTATTCCACTTTTGAATTCTTCTGAATCCTGCATGAGTTTGTTGGTGAGTGCAAATTTGCTGTGATTTTAATAGTTAGGGAA